AAGATCAGCTGACATGTTTATCTTAAGTAAATAACTTCTAATTCTTTCGTAATTTCTTAGTGTATCTTGACGTGCACTGAACTTTGGTGGTATAAATCTCGATTTTTTTCAGTGTGGCTTTTTAATAGCTTACTATATAATAATACTGATAATGAATAATAATGATAATAATAAATGATAATGATAATGGTAATATAATATGATAATGAAATGGTATAATAATAATTAATGATATAATAATGATAAAATAATAATAATAATAATAAAAATATTGACTAACATAATAATAATAATACGCACCCACATGGCTACGTAAAAGACATTACATAAAAGACAGAGTCTGGGAGCGCATACATTGTGCTACCGTACCATAGAAAAATATACGTAGTTGGTGGCCATTTCACCTCTCGATGGCTTCCTATAACGAACACTTTACGCTGAACCGAAGAACACGAGGGCTTTCGAGCAGTACCGGAGACCGAAGAGGGAATGAGGAAGTATAAGAAAGAAAAGAAAAGAAGAAAAATGCAGAGGGAGTATGCAGTGTTTATTATTTTTTGAAGTTTTTTTTTGTTGTTGTTGTTTTTTAAGGTTTCCCGGCTGGCGCAACTTCACTACTCGCATCGCCGGAGTAGTTGAAATAGTCGAGATTCCTTTGCACAAGATGAGGGGATTGAGAGTGTAAAATTATGAGAGAAAAAAATGACGGTCGAGGGAACAAAGCGTTATGCAACGTTCCAAAAGGGAGGGGTGAGGGGGTGGGGGTGGGGGTGGGGGGGGCTCTGCAACGGCCCTTGTACCTAATTCACGAGTCTATTGATCATTTCATTTAGGGAAGAAAGGGAATTAGATTCTTTAAGAGGTGTGGAGAGTATTGGCGGTATTTGGGCACAGTGGAGAGTTGTCGTGGAAGAGTGAACAAGACGGTAAGAAGTCGATAAAGATTAAAGATAGATAGTTCTTTCGAAAATGGCGCCAATATGTCGGTATATATCATAGCCATCGTGATTTCTGTAAGTATTTGAAGTCAACGTACATAAAAAGGAACATTTTGAAACGAATCTAAAAAACAAAAACAAAAAAATCATTCTAGGTAAAAAAAACTGTGTCGTGAGTGAATCGAAATCCCACACAATAAAAAAATAATAATAAGAAGAATCGAAATAGTAATTTACGATAAAATCCTTTCTGAATTCCGTTTTCTTTCGCCTCTCCGGATATTTTAGTCCGCCCTCGATACGCGGGCGAGAAAAAGAGTGGTGCGTGCCTGAGACAACACCATCATTTCAAGTAGGGGAGGCTGTGCTATTTTAATCGGAACACTTAGGAACACTTTCCGACCACAAGAGAATTAAAGTGAGGTCCACTTTCTTCTGTTCGACAACTCACTATGAGAATGCATCGCAAGTGACATCGTTATTGTGACGTTGAGGGAGTGACATCGTAAGGACATTGCAGTGGCATCGCAGAGGGACGTCGGAAGTGGCATCCTAAGTGACATTCCAAGTGGCAATCCCAAGTGTCCAGTGCATTCCCAAGTGACATTCCAAGTGGCATCCCGAGTGACATTCCAAGTTGGCATCTCAAAGTGACAGTCCAAGTGGCATCCCAAATGAACGCAAGTAGGCATCCCAAATGACGCAAGTGGCATCCGTGGCATCGCATTGACATCCCGAACATCGCAAGTGACGTCGCCAGGAAGCTCCTTTTACGAACACCAAGCTGCGACTCCCGGAAGCCGCCGAAGAGTGCCCTCCAAGGCGACCGCTGCCCTTAACGTGGGCGCCTGTGAGTGCCTCCTCTCTCGGGCCGGGGAGTTCGAGGGGGCGGCCGAGAAGTCTTGCAAACGCGGTGTCAGCACGCACGCGACCTCCCCTTGGCACCCTTCCCCCCTCCTCCTCTTCTCCTTGGCACCCTTCCCACCCTCTCTCTCCTTGGCACCTTCCCCCCTCCTCTTCTCCTGCCTTCCCCTTTCCCTTCCCCCTCCTCTTCCCCTTTCACCCCCCCTTCCTTTGCCCCCTTTCCCTTTCCCCCCCTCCTCTTCTCCCTTGGCACCACTCCCCCCCTTCTTCTTGCAACCCTTTCCCTTGTCCTCTCCTTGACCCTCCTCCTTCTGATTTTAATTTATTCTTTGTTTTCTAGTTTCTTCATTCTTGTTTGTTCTTGTTTTTTTTGTTCTTTCTCCTTCTTTCTCTTCTTGTCCTTGTTGTTGTTGTTCTTTCTCCTTCTTCTTCTTCTCCTCCTTCGCTTTCTTATCCTCTTCTTTCTCCACCTCCCCCTTTCCCCTACCTCCTTCCTTCCCCCTCTCTCCTCCCTCCCCCCCACCCTCCTCCTCCTCTCTCTTCTTCCTCTCTCCCATCCTCCTCCCCTTTCTCAGTGGCGATGAAAACAGGGGCGCCAAAATGAATTTCCACATGCATAGTTATTCAGTTCTCGAATTTATTTATTTATTTTATTTCATTTTGTTTCTATTCATTTATTTTTTTATTTTTTTTTATTTTTTATTTATTTTTTTATTTATTTATTTTTTTTTTTTTTTTTTTTTTTTTTTTGCCAATATCAGACTTAACCGATTCATAGTCTTCATACTATTTTTTTAATGCGATTTACGAAAATAGATTAACTCTTTCCATCAACTAAGATTATGATATTATGCATTTGATGATAAATAAAACGAACTACGCTTGCAAAATGTTAGAGGTAACCAGGGAAGGGGGCGCTATTTCAACCTTTTGCGGCCCTGCAATCTCATCCCAGCACGCCACGCATTTTTCCTTCCCCCAATCCCTCTCCTCCTCTTTCTCTTCTTATCTTCTCTCTTCTCTTCTTCCTTCTCTTCTTCCTTCTCTTTCTTCCGACTCCCTTTCTTCAAACTTCTCCCTTCTCTCCCTCTTCTCCCCCCCCCTTTTTCTTCCTCCTCCCTCTTTTCTTCCTCTCCTTCCCTTTTCTTCCCCCTCCTCCATCCCTCTTCTTCCTCTCCCCTCCTCCTCTCTTCTTCCTACCCCTTCTCTCTCCCTCCTCCTTCTCTCCCTCTTCCCCTTCCTCATTTCTCTTCTTCCTCTCCCCCACTTCCCTCTCCTCTCCCTCCCTTCCTCCCCTCCCCACCCCTCTCCCTCCCTTCTTCCCTCCCCCACCCCTCTCCCTCTCCCTCTTTCCTTCCCACCTCCTCTCCCTCCCTCTTCCCCTCCTCCACCCTCCTCTCTCCTCTTCTCCTTCCCTATCCCTTCCTTCTCCTCCCCTCCTCCTCTTCTTCCCTTCCCCTCACCTCCCCCTCCCTCCTCCCCTCTCCCTCCCTCTTCCTTCCCTCCTTCTCTGTACCCTTCCCCTCTTCCCTCCCCCTCTCCCCTCTTGCCTTTCCCTCCTCCTCATTGCCTCCCCCACCCTCCTTCCCTCCCCCCACCACCCCTCCCTCCGCCCTCTCCCTCTCTTGCCTTCCCTCCTCCTCATGTCCCCCCCCTCTCCCCCCCCCCTTCCCTCCCTTCTCTCCTTCACACCCACGCGCCCGGAGTCGAGTTTGGGAATTATGTTTAATTTTATTTTCGTTTTCTTGTGTTTTTATTTTGATTTTCTTGTTTGTTTTGGTTTTCCTTTGTATGTTGATTTGCTTTTATTTCTTTCCTTTTATTTTCAGATTTAGTTATTTTTATACATATTTTTTATCTGTTTGTTTGTGTGTTTTATATTTTTTTTTGTTTTTTTTCTTTTTTTTTTCGTTTTCCTTATCGTTATTCTAATTATTTCATTTATATTATTCCATCTTTCTGGTTTTTTTCTTATTTCATTTTAAGATTCATATTTTTTAATCCTTATATTTATGATCGAGCTTTGGAATTTAATTTTAGATCCTATTGTGGGAAGCTGTTTAGGTCTTAACCCTTTATGTGCCGACTGCGTTAGGAAAACATGAGGTATTTGGGATATTCTTGGGGTGGAGTGAAGGTCGGTATTTGCATGCGTTTGTGCTCGAAAATTACGCGAGTTTTATCCCGAGTTTGTGCTGGGTTTGGTGGGGAGTTGTTGGGGGGTTGATGGGGATTTGTGCTGGTTTTGTTGGGGGATTTGTACTAGTTTTGTTGGGAATTTGTACTATTTTGTTGGGAATTTGTACTAGTTTTGTTGGAAATTTGTACAATTTTGTTGGAATTTGTACTAGTTTTGGGGGATTTGTACTAGGTTTGTTGGAAATTTTTTACTAGTTATGTGTTGGAATTGTACTAGTTTGTTGGCATTTGTACTAGTTATGTTGGGAATTTGTACTATGTGGACTTAACCAATTGAGTTTCATTTAGAATTTTCTTGCTTTTTATCCCGAACTGGAATGTTGTGTCGTTGGTTATTTAGTGCAGTGTTCCTTACTAATTTTAAAATAAATAATCTTTAATTTATAAGATATTGACTGATGTCTTCCCATCATCGCAGTATTGCAGAAAGATATTAATTCGTCTTCTTTGGTCGCAGAAATATAGCATCCTATTTAATGGATTGTTACTAATTTTAAATAGTAAATAATCTTTAATTTATAAGATATTGACTGATGTCTTCTTCCATCGCAGTATTGCAGAAAGATATTAATTCGTCTTCTTTGGTCGCAGGAATATAGCATCCTATGCTCTCGTTCCTTACCATATTGCATTAAAAATGCTATTTTTCTGTTATTGCAGTGCATTGAGTTTTATATATATATATATATAATATATATATATATATATTATATATATATATATATATATTATATATTATTTTTTTTTTTTTTTTTTTTTTTTTTTTTTTGCTATTATCCCGAACTGGAATGTCTTCCGTTATTTACTGCAGTATCGTTACCAATCAAACAATAAATAATCTTTAATTTATAAGATATTGATTGATGTCTTCTTCCATCGCAGTATTTCAGAAAGATTTTAATTCGTCTTCTTTGGTTGCAGGAATATAGCATCCTACGCTCACGTTCCTTACCATGTTGCATAAAAAAGTATTAATTGATTTTTTTTCTTTTATTGCAGTGCATAAGATCAAGAACAATATGTCTCCGTGTGAAGAGAAGAACAGGAAACAAATTAGGTGAGTATTTTATTTGAATCTTGTTTTGTTCATTCTTTATTCGTCTGAATTTAGTCTGAATTGTTGTTTATTTGGGTTGTTTTAAACTGTTTTTCTTGTTTTCTCTCAATTGTTGTTTAAATTGCACAATTGTTGTTTATTTGGGTTGTTTTAAGCGTTGCTTTAGAAATGTTGTTTTTTCTTGACGGAAATCGGGTTTGATATCGAGTCAGTGATTGGTGAAGTATGAGAGAGAGAGAGAGAGAGAGAGGAAAAGAGGAGAGAGACAGAGAGGAGAGAGAGAGAGACAAGAGAGGGAAAGAGAGAGAGAGAGACAGAGAGAGGGAAAGAGGGGAGAGAGAGAGAGAGAAGAGGGAGAGAAGCAGAGAGAGAGAGAGAGAGAGAGGAGAGAGAGAGAGACAGAGAAAGAAAAGAAAGGGTAAGCGACAAAGAGGAAAAGAGCGAGAGAATAAACAATACAGATTAAGAGATTGGATTCTATCTAATACACTGCATTGTAAAAATATTGGGATAATAGATAGATACAGTAAAGAAATGTATAATTGCTGCATGTTTAGATAACCTACCTCTGTCTCTTTGTTACTTCGGAGGAAATGCGAAGTCCCCCCTGAAAATACCATTTTCTGTTTTTCATTCTTATGTTATGTGTAGGTTTTCTTTTAAGGGAGACTTTTGTGTTTTGGATATGCAGCTTGAGTTGGCCCTTTAATCTCCTAGGTTTATTTCTGGTTCTCTACTTCTTGTAGTGTAATTAGACAGCAAAAGCTCCTAGTTGAAACCATTTAAAAGAATCCTTCTAACGTTTAATTTTAAATTCGTTATTGTACAAAATATTTTATGAATTCTTCACCATTGTTTCTTCATCTCCGCCTTTTTTCGTTCATTCAGTAATAAATAGATATGTGTGTGTGTGTGTGTGTGTGTGTGTGTGTGTGTGTGTGTGTGTGTGTGTGTGTGTGTGTGTGTGTGTGTGTGTGTGTGTGTGTGTGTGTGTGTGTGTGTGGTGTGTGTGTGTGTGTGTGTGTGTGTGTGTGTGTGTGATAGACGGATACCGAAGTAAAGGAAGACAGATAAATAGAAGGATAAAAGGAAGAGGACTTGACACGAATAAATATCGAAATGCGTTTGTCGAGAGGCAGAAAGAGAAGAGAAGAGAGAGAGAGAGAGAAGAAGAGAAGAGAGAGAGAGAGAAGAGAAAAAGAAAAAGAAAAAGAGAGAGAGAGAGAGAGAGAGAGAGAGAAAGAGAAAGAGAAAGAGAGAGAGAGAGAGAGAAACCACGTAGCAGGGTCGCCATCGGGTCAGCCATCGCCGTGACACCTACCAGACTGCCAGGGAAGGAAAGCTAAACCGGGTGTTTTTGGTGCACAAGGTCACCCAGAGAGATATTTGACCCAGCCTCGCACACGCAGCTTTCCTTGTCAGCCACCCTCGCGCCATTTTCCCTCTGGCTTTGCGAGAATGTAGTTTTATGTAAGGAATTTAAGGAATATGTGTGTATTGTTTCTGTTTTGGTAATAGTTTTTTTTTATTGATGAATTTGATATATATTTTTTTTTGGGGGGGGGAGGGGCTAGCTAGGTTGAGTCAACCTTTTTTTTTTATCTATTTATTTTTATTATTATTACACTTTTCGGGGGAGGGAGGGTGGAAGGTAGCTAGTTCGATCCAACCTCCCTCCCCCTTTCTTTTTTTTTTTATTTCATTTTGTTGTTGTTGCCACTTTGCAACCTCTTCCCTCTGTGAAATATATTTACCTCACTATTTGCAGTATATTAAGCCCGGGCGGTTTGTATTTAATGTTTGGAATATACAGCCCATTATCCCCCCCACCCCCACCTCCGTCCCCAACCCCAACCAACCCCCGACCCCCCACCACCCCACCACCACCCCACGTGATGTATGAACTGTTCTGTGCGAGTGAGTCTGATATGCGAGTTGCGTTGGTGGGGGGGGGAGGGGAGGGGGGTAGAGTGGAATGGCCTGGGCTGTTCTAAAAACTCCCTACGTTCTTTTCACGTACAGGTTGCTTTGTGGGGGGGGGGGGAGGGGGCGGAGGGGGCGGGGTAGAGGTTGAAATAAGGTGTTAATTGTTTTTGTGATTTATTTGATAGTAGATATGGACATGGGGAAGGGGTGAGGTAAGAGGGAGAGAGAGTGAGGTGAGAAAGTGAGAGGAGGGACATAGGAGGTGAGAGTGACGAGTAAAAGTGCAGAATGAGAGGATCCTGCAAGGGGACCGGCGAAGTGTCCCGGCGAGGACGGGATAATAAGGTGAGAAGAGACGCGAGAGGAGATAAAGCGTACAGGAGAAGGGGAAAGGAAAGTGAGAGGAGAGAGAGGAGCAGAGAGTAAGGTCTAATGATCTGTATGATCAGTGCTCGGCACGAACGAAGGGCGTAAGTGGAGAGATGGCGGCGACATAGAAAGCGATAGTGAGGGCAGGAGGGGAGAGAGCGAAGAAAGTACAAGTCGGAGTGTAAAGGCGAATAGGTCGGACAGGGATCAACAGTTGAGTGGAAACCTGTCACAAAGAAAGTGGCATGCAGCGAGGTGACATGTTCAGGAGTAAAGAAGGAGGGGGAAGAAGAGAGTATTCACAACAAAGACCGAAGCAGAAAAGAAAAGGCAATCTAGGAGAAATGAAGGAAAGTGAAAGTGCTGCGTAAATGGGTGATGTATATTTTCAAGAAGGGTCTCGAGGAGAGGAGCGCAGAGGAAATATTGGCGACAGGGAAAGAGGGGAGAGACAGACAGAGAGAGTCACAGACAAGAGAGAGAGGAGAGAGAAGGGGAGTCATAGACCGCAAGGCACGGAAGATGGGCAGGAGAGAGTGGGAGACTGAAGGACGGATGTGCAGCCTGCCGGAGAGCCGGGAGGGTGCGGAGAGTGGGGATCGGGATGGGGGGGAACGGGGGGGAGGACTGTTAAGATGGAGGCTGGATGAGGAGGAGGGGATGAATGAGAAGGCTAGAGGGAGAGGGAGGGCATTCGAGGTGAGTGCGAAGATGTAGAGCTAAGTCCTCTAGATGTCGCGGCGGGGAAGAGATGAGCGAGAGAGAGAGAAAAGATGATGAGAGAGAGAATGGAGAGAGAGAGAGAACGTAGAGAGAGATGAGAGAGGAGAAGAAAGAAAGAGAGAGGAGACAGGAACAACAATACAGATCAAACAGTAAATGAAGAGCAAAGAGAACAAGAGAAGCAGAAACGAAACGAAAAGAGGAAAAACAAACAAACAAAAAAAAAAAGAGAAAGAAGAGGGGGAGGAAAGGTGAGAGCGCATGTGCACATATCCCAGGCACCAGCCTTCCGATTGTATACTGGTTCCTCGGGCGTCTTACACTCTGTGCTTGCCTAGCTCGGGGCCGTCCTGCTGCACTCCCGCGGACGCTCGGCAATCAATCCAGCAGTATACAATAACCTGTAGGCTCGACTCACCTGCCGTCGCAGCCGCACTCATCGTCGAGTCACCTGCCACTGCACACGGACGCAGTCAGTCCATAGGCAGTGGAGGCAGATTGGTCGGGAGGGGGACGGTGGGGGAGAGCTAAGGTCTACGACACCCGAAAAAGAAAAATAAGCACGCAAAGAGAAGAAAATATATTGTAGGTTAAGGGAATTTATTTATTTACTTTTTTTTTTTTCGTTTAAGGTTATGCATGGTTATATATTTTTTATAGTATAATTCGGTAGTAATTAATAGAATCATTCATGCAAAAAATAAGCATTTGAATAAAAAAACAATCTACAAATTATATAAAATTCTACATGATATACGTATGGATATAAACACCCGAAATTATGTAAACAAAAAAAAATGTTTTAGTCAAGAGCAAATGCCTTTTTTCTTCTCCTTCTTCTTCTTCTTCTCTTTCTCCTTTCCTTTTATTAGCAGGTAAATTTCTTTCTTCTTCATCTTCGTTCTTTTTCCTTTTTTATCAAGAGTAAAATTCCTCTTTTTTCTTTCTTTTTTCCTTCTTTTTTCTTTTTCTTTTTTCGTGTGTAGCTGGCAGGGAAAACGTGACAGGTTTATTAGGTTAGCTGTCACTGTAGCCTAGCACTGTACCCGCCACGACTGCCTTGCTCGTTGGACTGCGGTCGTAAATCTAATGTTTTGAGAGAGGCCAGACAAAGGCGTTCATAATTCGTGTTTTTTTTTTTTTGTTTTTTTTTTTTTTTTTAGATGGATTGGGTTTTACATTTTTTTGGTTTTGGGTTGGGTGGGGTGGGTGGGTGGGGTGGGGGGAGTGCGCGTGGGTGCGGGGGGGAGGTGTGGGGGATGTGTGTGTGTGTGTGTGTGTAAGGGGTGCGTGTGTGTGTGTGTGTGTGTGTTGTGTGTGTGTGTGTTGTGTGGTGGTGTGTGGGTGTGTGTGTGTGTGTGTGTGCTGTCCCTGTGTGTCTTTCTGTCTGTCTTTGTCCGTATCTTATCTTTCTTCTCTCTCTCTTTCTTTCTTTCTTTCTTTCTTTCTTTCTTTCTTTCTTCTCTCTTCTCTTTCTTCTCTG